CTGCATTATCATATGTTCATTACTGTACAACAAAAAAGTTAAAAAGTTTATTAAATGACCTCAATATACAGCGATGGGTGACTGAACATCCTCCTCCGTGGTCCATGGTTGCTTGGCAACTATACCATAATAATTTCTACCATAAACATTTCTTGACAAAATACTTTTTTTTATCAGTTATTATTAATAATGTCTGTAATGTGTTTATTCCTACTGTCAATTAAATAGTATTTTTTATGTTATTGATATTATTATTATTATTATTATTATGCCAATAAAATGATCTGATAATAACAACAACAAACCAAAACAAAAACAGCAAGAACAGCAGCAGCAGCAATATGATAATAATAATAATAATAATAATAATAATAATAATAATAATGTGTTTTATATGTATAATAAGTTTTTTCACAAACACTGTATCACTCCGCTGAAACGCCGTTGCTAAGCAACGACTTTGACAGCTGTAGGAGACGCTCAAGACATTTGAACATTTTCACTTCTTACTTTGCCACAAACAGAAAATGGACACTTTTATGATCACATTTGACCGACAGCCGATTTGGTCAGACTCTGAAGATGAGACGACACTAAATTCCCAAACTGTCATCACCACTGAGCAGCTTTTCAGTCGGCAGCTGTGACAGAAGAACAGCTAAACAACCTGGAATCAGAAATTAACCCAATACCATTCACCAAACTAAATGGGCTGTAAGATGCTTTACAGACTGGCTGGAACAAAACAACATTAATATTGATCTGGCAAAAACTGACAAAACTGAGCTAAACTTGATATTGCGGCAGTTTTATGGCTCAGTCTGATTTGGTCAGACTCTGAAGATCAGACTCCACGTTTGGAGAATGGTACTGGGTTCATTTCTGGTTGATTCCAGGTTGTTTAGCTGTTCTTCTGTCACAGCTGCCGACTGAAAAGCTGCTCAGTGGTGATGACAGTTTGGGAATTTAGCGTAAGGAGCTGGTGAACGAACTGCCGGCTGTGCAGCGAGTGGGCGGAGCTCGTTACTCTGATGTAGCAACAAGCTGCTTGTTAAGAAACTATAATTTGTTGAAGGAACTACGAACATTAAAACCTATTAAACGCCGCGTTCACAGCCCAGTTTATTAATTTATTACTGTATTTATTTAACTGTTGTATAAAAGCAATAGAACACTCGAGGAGTGTGTTATCGCCAATAACATCACAGCTGTGATGATCTATGGCGACCAAATCACAGCCCTGATGTTATTTCACGATAACAAACTCCCTCTCGTGTTCTATTGCTTAAGCATAATATATATAATGACAGTTAGTAATGTGTATAATATGTATGATTACAGTCAATCTGTGTATAATGTGTATAATAACAGTCAGTCTGTGTACAGAGACAGTAAGTCAGTAACTCACTGTAGTTTCTCCAGTGCGCAGTGTGGATCCTCCAGTAGATCAGACAGCAGCTTCACTCCAGACTCTCCTGGGTGATTGTAGCTCAGATCCAGTTCTCTCAGATGGGAGGGGTTTGATTTCAGAGCTGAAGCCAGAGAAGAACAGCCTTCATCTGTCACCATGCAACCAGACAATCTGCAGAAATGAAGGAAAAAAAGGAACAGGTGGCTTTTACATACAGCAAAAACCAGCTGCAGTACAAACACAGCAAGCACATAATTCTGTTAAATATACGTTCAGATATCATGGAATGCAAAAAATAAAATAACATTCACATGGCCTGTCAGGACAATCTGGACTATTACTTTAAATAATTAATTATTAAAATGAATTATTTATTAATTAAATAAATACATCTGAACTCATTATACAACTATTTTGCCTCCTGACTGTATGCTCACTCAGTAACATCTGTAAACAGGACATTACTTCTGTGATTTTTTTGTCGTAGCTTTTTACAGAAGTGTGTTTACAGTAGCAGAAGAAAAAATTCAACATTTTTTAACATTTACCTTGTATTAAAATGTTTAAACTAAGGTTCCTTAGAGCATTTAAGGCCATTAGAGAACAACTTAAATCTGTCTCCATCGGAAAAATGTCACAATCACTGTCACATCCTGATTCATTTGTAGAAAACAGGCCACAACATTGCTGTTTATCAGTTTTGTACAATTGTAACCAGAGACAACAAGTTAGAAGTCAATCTAAAACAATTCTGAACTGATTTGAAATCATCTACAAACATTTTATATTATAATTTATTATAATTATTATTTTTATACAATTATTTTTATTTCTTTTTTATTATATTTAAGCATTACATTTTGGCTTAATGTTAAACGTCTTCGCCTTTTGTATTCTGTTTTGTCTTTTTGGCCCTTGGCCCACCACAGACATTGTACTCTGGCCTTCCAATACAAAAAGTTTGGGCACCCCTAAACTAGATGAAGTCATGGTGAGGGTCTGGTCCCTTATTGATTTTACATTACAGATTTTTGCAGTATCTCAAGGTACTTGATTTAAAACACAACTGATTGTAAACGAATGTATTGGTGTTGGTATTTTTGTTTAAAAGTGCAGCTTTGCTCTTTTATATTGTATTAGGACGTTGCTGCTTCAGTGATTCTCAGCAAAATTAAACTGCATTTTAAGAGTTTTCAGCTTTGTCTAGATTTAAAACACAGCATAGTTCATTCAGTAGAGCAGAGCTGTGTGAAGTGGGTGAAGCAGCAACTGACAGGAATTTTAGACCAATTAGAACACGGCATGCATGGTGCAGGATCTGTCTGACTCCGCCCCCTGGATGCTCTCTGTAGTGCGAGTGCTCTCCAGTGTTCGATACGTCTGTTTAAAGTCAAACATGACCGTTACGAGCTGTTTACAGTAGCTAGCTCACTCACCGCGTTAACGCCAGCTGTTTTATCGTGTTTATTCACTGATAAAACCTCATCCAGACAGTCGCTTACAGTCTTTACAGAGACGTTACAGACCTGGTGACATTTTACAGATCAAAAAATTATCTATTTTTTTTTAGCACTACTGGATGAAGTGGAATGGTGACCTTGGTTACTTCAGTGGTCAAACTCCACTTTTAAAAGGTGAGTAATGATGAAATGAGATAAACAACCTCACTAACAGATACTTGGGCTCTTCTTTCTGTATCTCTGTGTCTGTCACTGATGTTAGCTAGGTGAGGCTAGCTTAAGCAGTTAACCTAGCTAAACTCGCTTGTCTGTTCAGGCCTTGGGCTGCAATCAGATTAGGATTAGCATCTCCTCCCAGCGGCTCTCTGTACTGACTGACCGCTCAGCTTCACCACTGTCTACAGCTCTAATGTCTACAGTCTCATCTCAGCAGTTCAGGGAGCAGCTGAAGAGCTGTAAATACTGACTGACCGCTCAGCTTCACCACTGTCTACAGCTCTAATGTCTACAGTCTCATCTCAGCAGTTCAGGGAGCAGCTGAAGCTGATAAATGTTTGGAGTACTGACAGATGAGATGCTGTGTTTTTGTGCAGCAGAATCTTAGTCAGTTGAAGTGTTTTGGTAGGTGAACAAATAAACCAGCATAATGTAAGACTAACTTTCACTTATTGCCCAAAAATGTATCTAATCTTCCTAATTAAAATGTCAGTGGTCTGTTTATTCACTACAAGTGATGGTTTGGTCATTGTGGTAAAAGGAAAAGGGCACCAATATTCAAGGCTACAGCTTTAATGTATTAGTACAGTTCACTGATAATAAACTCCTGAATTTAATTAAATGTTTTAAATGTGTTTTACTCTTTGAATGTTTTGTCACGGTTCCTCTTTGTTCCTGTGTCTGTTTCTTGCTGTTTTGTAGCCGTGTGCTTTCTGCCATGTGCTTGTGTTTTTGTTTTGGTTCTTTGCCCCGCCCCTTTTCCCACCTTCCCTGTTAGGATCCTCACCTGTCTGTAGTCTCTGTCTCCTCCCTCTCCCAGGTGTTCCCCGTTCGTTCTAGCCTTTATCAAGCCCTTTGTTCCAGTCAGTGTTTGTCTGGTCTACTCGTCACTTTGTTAGGTGTGGTTGTTGTGTGACGGCCTCATGTTTGGTTTGCTCAGTGTTTCTTTGTTAAGCTTAGTAGTTTGTTATTTTGTGTTCAGTGTTTCTACTGGTCTGTTTTCTTTATTAAAGTGTGCTCACAAGTACATCCAGCCTCCTTGGTCACTGCACACATGACAGTTTTATTCAGATACTCATCTGTATCTTCTGGATTTGTCTTTTCTGTCTGTTCTAAAGGAACGGCTTCACAAAAACAATGTGAAGAGGCAGCTTGAGGAGTGTAAAGAGACGTTATATTATAGAAAATAATGGACATTAGTGCAGAGAAAAGATGGTCAGTTAAGTGATGAGTGTGTTTCAACTGGAGATGGGGAGGAAAAACTGAGCCACAAGTTCTGCTCTGTATCTGTTCATATCAGTCTGATATTGTTTGAATGGTCTTAAAATTGTCTTAATCTGTATTAATTACTTTTGTTTAATAAAAAAACATTAATACAGAAATGAAGTAGTTCTTGTTTAACTTGTTATGATCACACCACACAAACACTGAGACACTTCTGATTTTGGTCTGGTCTGACTGTAAACGTACCAGCTTTCCATGCTGATGACAAGCTTGTTTCCCTAACAAGGACACTGGACGTTCTGTAAGAGTACCACAAATGACTGACCACCACAGAACGCTCTGATTATACCAGTAAAACAACAGGATTGCTGTAAAATGTCACACTTTTCTTTCAGAATTACTACAAATCTACTACTAGTCACTGCAAATGTACACAGTTAAAAAAGATGGTTCTTCAAGGATTCTTTAGTAAAGGTAATGGTTCTGTTTAGAACCATGGGTTCTATGCAGAGCCATTTTATGCTTAAATGGTTCTTTGCATGGTGAACTTGTTCTTCAGATTGATGGAGAATATGCTGTACATGGATCTATATAGCACCAAAATGGTGCTATTGATATTGATTCTACTGATACTATGTCCAGTGTGTAAAAAGAGAACAAAAATTTTTGGTGCTATACAGAACCATTTTCAAAAAGGTTCTATATAGAATCACACACAACATATTTTTCATCAATCTTAAGAACCATTTCACCATGCAAAGAATCATTTAAGCATGAAATGATTCTATTTAGAACCATCAGTTCTATATAGATCCATCGCCTTTACTAAAAACCCTTAAAGAACCATTTTTTAGAATAAGTGTGTTCTACAAAATCCCAACAGGGATACCAGAGAAATATGACACCAGCTCCATAAATCTGCCACAGGAATATGACAGGAATTACCACAGGAAAAACAATAACCTGTGGTAAAGCATCCAAAATACCACAGGAATACCACATAATACTGTATTGTACTCTGACTGTATTTACCACAGGACTTTAAGGTATTTACTACAGGAAAAATACTACAGTCATTTTTTGTATAGTTTTTACCACAGGACTTTTTGTGGACGTAATAAGTTATCCAGCTATCCACAGCTGTCGTGTTAGCTGATTTTGTGGACATATTCCATGAGTCAGCTAACTGTAGCTGATGTATAAGGTCATTTTATGGACGTACTTAGCGAGTCAGCTAACCGTAACTGTTGTATTAGGTCATTTTGTTGACATACTTAGTGAATGTAACTCCCCCCAAATTTGTCATTCCCCTAATTTCAGCCACTTGATATCAAGAACTGAATCACTGAGAGGATCAAAAAATTGAGCTCCTGCCTTAGAAGGGAATTTAAACTTTATTCTTGTAAAAATCCCATCTGAAAACAATATTTAAATATTGTTAACAATGTTGTAATTCTGCATGTACAAAACTGCAGGAACACACAGCACTGTTTCCATATCACAATGAATATTTGTCTCAGTGTTAAAGCCTTACTGGTTAGTTTTTTTTGAGCCGAGGTGAATTTTGTCGCCATGGTAACTAGTGTTACATACACACAGTAAAGCTGCCTCCACAGGACAAACTTAATCTCACTGTAAACAAATTACACTGTCTACAGCAGAAAGATGAGTTAAACCCAATCTGACTGATGGTGGCTGATACTGGGGGACCCCCACTATTCTAGCAGTATTAGTGTCAAAGTAAACACAAATATCACAGTTTAAAAAATACCTTCTGTGAAAGTCAAACGAGTCAGTGCTGCCTCCCCAAATGGAAAAGAGGCTGTGTTCACATTACAAGCTTTAATGGTCTGTTCTGATTTTTTCTCAGTCTTTCTTCACTGAAAGTTTGCACTCATGTTTGTAAGTGACCGATATCTTGTCATTGGTGTGAAAATACCTCTGACCTGAAAGGATATGCATGCACACATTTTCCAAATGGCCATGTATTGGATATGTGATCATCAGGAACTGAATATGAAAGTGGATCAAACCTGATTTGAAAAGATCAGATTTTAATGTTCACATAATTCTTCATCAAATCTCTATCAGATTTCCTCAAATTCAACCCTCTAATATTTGAAAGGAGATGTGGAGAGATGTTTCCCCAGTAAGAATGATATTACTGTGTGCATGTGTGTGCGTGCGTGCGTGTGTGTGTGTGTGCATGTGTGTGTGTGCATGTGTGTGTGTGTGTGTGTGCGTGTGTGTGTGCATGTGTGTGTGTGTGTGTGTGTGTGTGTGTGTGTGAATGTACAAAGTTAAATTATTACTGCCACATATATTTTTTATTAACACATTTTCCTAGTTTGATCCTTGAATTATCCACATCAGACTGAAGCAAAGCTGCTCTGTGACTGCAGCCCTCTTGTTGAAATAAATGGCTCTCTTTATGAAAGTTATTTCCAGTTACTGCTTTGGTGAATTTATTTACTATCAAAGTACATTGAGTCTCAAGCATCATTTACAAGCAAAATGTATCACTGATGTGGCAATATTACTAATTTGACAAACCAAATTGGGCAGTGTTTGCAGAAAAACTATGGATAAATCGACAAGCTGCAAAAAGCAACAGCAAATGGTGATTAACTACACAAAATAATGCAAGAAACTGTAATTAATTAGTGTTTTTAATTATTTTGTTACCTCAGTATTTCCAGTTTACAGTGTGAACTCTTCAATCCCTCTGAGAGCAGCTTCACTCCAGAGTCCTGGAGGTCATTGCTACTGAGGTCCAGCTCTTTCAGAGAGGAGTTTGATGATTGCAGAATAGAGCTGAGCATTTCGCAAACTTTGCCACCAAGATTACAGGATGCTAATCTGAAAATGAAAAATAAATATCAAAGAATTAAAAGTCCCTCTTTACTGGTTTAATCTATATGAGTGTTGTGTGCCCCATTTTCCTTTCACACTTTCACTGTCCAATCATCGATCTCCCACTGAGGTCCAGATATAGTTCCACTATGCGTGTGTGATTTACCACATAACATCACTGATGTACATCATTAAGAGTGGGCAGGTAAAAACAGACTAAACAGACCATGATCATTATTATGTCTCTGTCAGAAACACATTCATCATCTCCTTGTTTTTCACAATCAGAATAACTTTGTTTTGCCAAGTAAGTTCCACATACAAGGACTATGTAAGGTAAATAAAAAACTAAACAGACCAGAGAAGTGCACAGACTATAAACAAATATTCCAAAGAAAATAAAACATTTAACTAAGGAACAACAGAACAAGTGAAATAAGGAACAAGAAAGAAGATATAAAAGAGCCAATGTGAAAGGAGCCCAATGAGAAAAATACGTGAAAATTCATTTTCAGAGTCTGAGAAAACATACAATAACTATTATGTACAGTGTATTACATAAAATATAAAGATCTGTAAAATTAACATTTGTACAGTTGTACAAATTAATATTGTGGTACTGTAATTCAGTAACGGAGGATTGTTAGGTTTAATTTAAGTCTAAAGTGCAAGGTGTACACAACAGTTAGTGAGCGCCACAGCTCTGGGGAAAAAGTTGTTAGCATGTCTAGCTGCATAGACTTTGATGGCTCAGAATCTCCTACCAGAGGGATGTGACTGGAGGAGAAGATGTACAGGGTGAGAAGGTTCAGCTGTAAGTTTGTCAGTTGGCTTCATGACCCTGCTATTGTTGATCTTGAAGCGTTGGCAGACTATGTCCAATGATTCTCTCCACTTCAGTAAGAGCTGTAGTTTGGCTCGCTCTTCAGATGTGGAGAAAAAAAACTAGATGGTTATGGATGAAGTGATCTCGATGACCAATGTGTAGAACTGGATCACTGGGTCTTCAGCTGCCTCAAGAAGAACATTCTCTGCTATACTGTCTTAGTTATGGGGACTCTCCCATTTCAGGTCCCTGGATATGATGCTCAACTTCCTTTTGTAGGCAAACCCATCAATATTGGTATGAGGTGTCATCTGCAAACTTCAGGTTCTTCACAGGTGGTTGCTTGGAAACACAGTTTCTGGTGTAGAGACTGAAGAGAAGGAGTGAGAGCACACACACTTCTATTCCAGTGATACTCTAGTGAATGCCTGGATGTCTGATATGTTTTTTCCTAGCTGCATCTCCCATCTCCTGTTATTCAGGAAATCCATGATCACCACTAGTAGTCATTCTACATTATGGTATTAAAAGCTGAGCTGAAGTCCACAAACAGAACTCTAGCGTAGGTCCCAGGACTGTCAACCTGTTTTAGCATGAAATGCAGGGCTAAGTTGAACACATCATCAACAGACCTGTTTGTAAAGAGTCTGTAATGGCCTTCAGATGAGCTCGGACTACACATTCAAAGACATTCATAACTACAGCGGTCAGGGCGACTGGCTTGTAGCCATTCAGTCCTTCAGTGTTCTTTTCTGGGGGATCAGAATAATGGTGGAAAGCCTGAAGCACCAAGAACAGAGCACAGTTCCAGTGATTTGCTGAAGATGTCTGCGAAAATTGGTGCAGGTTAATCACAGTAGGGCTTTAAGGTGGAAGGCAAGACAAAATCTCCTGAAAAGGCTGTTGACATCTTGCTCATTGATGGTGAGATGTGCAGGGGCAGAGGTGGAGGGTGCAGGAGGAGGGCAGGAGAATACGAGAGAAAAGCTGAGGATTGTTCTTTGCACATCTTCAAATCTGCAGCAGAACTCATTCAGGTCATTGGTAAACTGGCAGTTGATCAAGAGACGGGGTCTTTTTAATCTCTTGTCCTTTCCATTTAAAGGTGGGTCATTAGCAGCAATGTAACTTTATCTTCTCTGAGTATTTTTTCTTTGCTGCTTTAAAACCTGTCTCCAGCCTGTATTTGGTCTCTTTGTAGAGAATTCTGTCCTCACTCCTGAACACTGCCTCCATTTCCATTTGATCCTTGGCTGAAAGCATGGGTTTGTCATTGCTATGCTTCATCTATGCTGTAGTTGAATTGCAGCTGATGTATGATGTCACAGTGTCCGTGTGTTCTTCTAGGCCATCTGTCACCACTTTAAAAGCAGTACAGTTTGTGGATTCAAAGCAGCATTATAGCTTTTCAATGTCTCCACTGGTGCACCTCTTCACCATAGCGGCAACATCCATGTTGTTTTGAGTGTTTTGCCTACAAGCTCTATCATATCACATTAAAACAGTCCATTTAAGTAAACAAAGACTGCACAATGAAATAATAATTAAAAATTAAACATGTAAAACTGTCCATGATACTCATGATATTCACAGTGTGAATAATTATTAACATATATGCCCATGCACAGATATGTAAGGAGACCCTACAGTAGAGCTTTCCAACTGAAAGCTATGCAGGTGATCCAAAAAAATTAAAACTATTTTAATTTATGATGTAATCATGAACATGCACCAGACATGCATAATACAGAACTGTGCATATTGTGGAAACTGTTACAATTAGAGTGATTAAATAATCAAGCACATTACATAACAGTGCTTAATGTGGAAACCTTTACTTTAAAAGTAGAATTTGTTTATCTCCTGCTACAATAATACTGTTTTCTGATAGGACTTCTTGGGTATTTGCTATATTTTGCTAGCATCATGCTAACACTTTATATTCTTCATTTTGCCACACTGGGTTTAATCACACACAGTTCTAGTCTACACACAGACAGACAAGTTTCTAATAGACATTCATGTAACCCATTCTTTACTTTGTATGTTACATCTTAACACTGAATCCTTCAGTATATATTTAACTAGATTTGCCTGTGAACTGAGTGGAATTAGAATATTACAAGTCCTCTTAGGCAATTTTCTATATTTCTGGCATATTTAAAAAGAGACACTGGAATCCCAAAACCAAAGGAAATAAATAAGTAACTCAAACAGAAAAATAATCATTATATTAACTCTACATACTGGTGTGGGCTCTGAAAGTATGCTGGCGCAATATGGCTGCTCACTTTACATCTGTTTGTCATTTGTCGTTTGTTTTGTATTGTTTGTGTGTATGTTTTTAATGTTTCCCTGCTGGCTGAGGAGTTTGCCATCATATCCACTGAGGCAGCAGCCAAGAGCGATTTTTTAATCTTGGCTCAGAGGCTTCTTAGGCTGTTTTGGGCTGACTGCATGGATGATGCTGCACTGCAGCTGTGGGGCTGCCTGAACCAGTAGTGTTCAGCTGTATGAGCAGCGCTATGCTGCAGCTATGAGGCCTCTTGTGCCAGCTGCATAAGCAACACTACATCGCAGCTATGTGGCTGCCTGGACTGGTGGTGTTTGCCTGCAGGAAAATGCTACCCTTTCATGGCTAGGGACATTTTCAGCCTTCAAGGCTTCCCAGGCTGGCTGCCTGCATGACGCACCTTAGTTGTGGAGTGAGACTTTCCCCGCAGCTAAGGACTCTATACCATGGTCACTGTAATCTCCTCTGTTAGCTGTGGGAACTGCAGAGTTGTGTGTGTGTGTGTTCTGTTTTATTTATTGTTGTTTATGTATGTTGTTAATTTCTGATCTCTTTGTAAAGCATCTTTGAGTTTGTGAAAGGCGCTATATAAATTGAAATTTTTATTTTTATTATTATTATTATTATTATTATTATTATTATCCCAATTAATAAACAAGCCAGTTATTTGAAACAAATATGGTTTGTATGTGATTTATCCAGCTGAATGATCCCTGATCTAGGGTAATCCTCCCCGCTTTCTTAGAAATGTCAAACCAGATCAAACCAAGTTGTGTTTGTGATACAGGAGTAAAACAGGTTAAATTACTATTATTGCTACTTAAACTTCTCATGTATTTCATAAGTAGTCATTGTTTATCCTCAAATAAAATAACGCTGATTTGTGATTCCTAATGTTGTTTGCAGTGTTATATTAGCACTAATCTAACAGAGCTATTTATTCTTCAGTTTCCCACACTGGGTTTAATAATACACAGGTCTAGCCTTTAGCATTTAGCTCTTCTGTTTTGTTTACTGAGATGCATAAACACTCTAAAGTAATGACTATTTCTATATGTGAATAATCATTTACCATCTTTCAGACTCTCTGGTTTCTCTTGCAAATGCCTGAAAGAGGACCATGAAAGTGGCAGAACAAACCCTAAGAAAGATGAGGATTGAGAGTGGTGCTGCAGCTAACCAGTCAGCAGTGACAGTACTGCTAGTCCCCCACCCTTCAGTACCATTATGTCCTGTTGGTATCAGTCTTGAACAGTAATCAAAACCATAAAGCTTGTTATGGTATCAGAAACTCAAACTTCAGAAACTGTGCTGGACCATGTTAGTGAATTCTGTGAACGTCTCCCGCATGTCTGTAAATTTACTCAGACACATTTGGATTCTACTCAAACAAAAATGAAACAGATGTGGAGTCACATCTGCTGGAATCTAATGCTACACTGCTACTTTGCCTCCTCTGCTGTTACTACTTGTGTGTTCCTGTTCAGGAGCTGGTAACATTATTGAACACACTGACTAGAAATCACTCACAAGAATACCAATCAAAAGAATATCTACATATTATGACTTTAAGTAATCTGCAACATTTCATAGCTATTTAATCTCAAGCATTCAGAACAAACTGTTTAAAACTGAATAACAGTAATGCACATAAACGTTGGCAAACAAGCAGCTGTTATAGCTGCTTGGCCAAGCACTGCTGTCAGTGAGAGACTCTCTGAGCTCAGGCCTCCACTCATGCTGGTACACTGGTTTTGCTTATCATCACAGTGTGACATCATTTGTTGATTTTATGAAATGTATTTCTCATAATGTTAAAAAACAAGCTTTTAGAATTTTTTTCAACAAATATCACATTACCCCAAGTTAAGAAACAGTGAAGAGTCGTAAAGGGGACTCAAACACACCTAATAAACCTGGCAGTTAACAGAGAAGTTAAATCAGGTGTGTCTGAGCAGGTAAATCACCAAACTCTGCTGGACACTGACCCTCCAGGACTGTGACTTGTGCACCCCTGGACTACAGTTTGTAACTGACACCAACAAGGTTAAGCTATCACTAAAATTTATTTTACAACTTTTACTGGACATGTCATAACAAACCATCGACATTCAAATATCAACAGTTATATTAATCTAAATATAACAGACGTTACATTTATGTGGAAATAACACTCACATAGCTCTTCTGCAGACGGTCACAGCTGGGATCAGTCTCCTATAACCCTCCACTGATGTCCTGTATTTCTTCAGGTCCAGCTCATCCAGAACCTCCTCTGAGCTCAGGATCATATAGGCTACTGCTGAACACTGTGCAGGAGAGAGTTTCTGCTCTGAGTGTTTCTCTGATTTTAGATACTCCTGAATCTGTCTGAAGAGAGTCTGGTCATTCATTTCAGACAGACAGAAGAACAGATTAATGGATCTCTCAGTTGAGATGTGATCTTGTCTAGATGTATCTCTTATTATGTCCTTGATGTGCTCTTTAATTCTCTCTGGTTGTCTCTGTATGTGTGTCAGTAGACCCTGTAGGAGTCTCTGATTGGACTTCAGTGAGATTCCCAGCAGGAATCGCAGGAAAAGATCCAGGTGTCCATTCTGACTCTCTAAGGCTTTATTCACTGCTCCTTCCAGCAGATCATCCAGTGAAACATTCTCAGACCACCCTCTGCATATTAGGTTAAAAAGTGTCAGTGATCTATTCCTTGGTTTTAAACACTGCACGGGGCTCCATGATTTTGCACTCGTAGCAGTGAATCACAAAAACAGCAGCCAGAAACTCCTGAAAGCTCAGATGAACAAAGCTGTAGACCTTCTTCTGGAAAAGCACACATTCCTCCCTAAAGATCTCAGTGAAAATCCCAGAATACACTGAGGCCCCAGTGACATCAATGCTGCTCTCTCTCAGGTCCTCTTCATAGAAAATCACATTGCCCTTCATCAGCTGTGTGAAAGCCAGTTTGGCCAGTTTCAGAAACATGATTCTGTTGGACTCCAGCAGCTTCTTTGGGTCTCTCTCATGTTTCTCCTCATACTTCTCGTTCTTCATGTTGGTCTGAGTGAGCAGGAAGTGTGAGTACATTTCAGTCAGAGTTTTAGGGATTTCTATATGAGGCTGTTTCATGATTCTCTGAAGAACAGTGGCTGAGATCCAGCAGAAGACTGGAATGTGGCACATGATGTGGAGGCTCCTCACTGTCTTAATGTGGGAGATGATTCTCTGGGCTTGGTCTTCATCACTGATCCTCTTCCTGAAGTACTCCTCCTTCTGTGGGTCACTGAATCCCTGAATCTCTGTCACACGGTTGATGTATTTAGGAGGGATCTGATTGGCTGCTGCTGGTCGGGAGGTGATCCAGATCAGAGCAGAGGGAAGCAGCTCTCCTTTGATGAGGTTTGTCATCAACACACCCACTGATGATGTCATGGTGATGTCAGATACTTTCTCACACTGTTTAAAGTCCAGTGGAATTCTGCTTTCATCCAGACCATCAAATATAAACACAGCTTTGATCTGATCATAAATCTCTGGGTCCAGATATTTGAGCTCAGGATGGAAACCACACAGAAGTCCATGAAGACTGTATTGATCATCTTTAATCAGGTTCAGCTCCCGGAACGGAAGCACAAACATGAGCTCTACATCCTGATTGGCTTTTCCTTCAGCCCAGTCCAGAACGAACTTCTGCACAGAGACAGTTTTTCCAATTCCAGCGATTCCTTTAGTCAGAACTGTTTTGATCTTTCGCTGTTTTGGTTCTTCATCCTCTTTTCTTTCATTTTGCCTGACATGTTTAGCTCTCACAGCTCTAATGTTCCCTTTTTCTGTTTCTTCTTTAAAGATGTCTAAGCAGTTGATTGGAGAGTCTTGTAAGCGTCTCCTGGATGTTTTCTCCATCTGTAGAACCTCATGTTCCTCATTCACTCCTTCACTCTCTCCCTCTATGATGTAGAGCTGTGTGTAAATCCTCTTCAGGAGGGTTTTATTCTCTTCTGCTCTGATTCCCTCAAATAAGCTCTCGTACTTGTTCTTCATGCTGGTTTTGTGAGTCTCTAAGACTCTGTTCAGGACGTCGTTCACTGGTTGATAAGAATCCAGATGAAGGTCTTCAGTTTCCTCCACCAGAGTGTTTATCTGTAGTGCTGTTTCTGTGGAGTTCAGCCTGAGAGGATCAAACACAGAAACACAAACATCAACATAAATAACCTTAACAATCTGTTAAATATGCTGCTTAAACTGCTCGTCACATGTTTTTATTATCATGTTCTTAGTGGTGGAGCTCCTTCTGTATGTTTGCCAGTGTCTTGCATCAGGACCCCATGACCCAGACTTAAAATTACACTAAGAGTAAAAAACACCTCAATAACTTATTCTCTCATTCATGAATGAGGATTACCAGCGTGTTTACAATTTGCATAATCTGTAGCACTACAGCTGTTATCCTTCAACAATGTGCCAATAGCAGAATATATCAGAATATCAGCCCATAAAAAATACCACCTGAACTAGTCAGGCAGTAAATCTCCAGGTAAGAAGCTGATGGGAATGATCTTTACTGTAATGTTCTCATATTTGGTCAAACATGCAAATCTTCAATAAGTTATGCACATAAAGCCTCTCAGTTTATTAAATAGTATTTGAAACATCTGAACATGACAAACTGCAGTTGTCGGAGTAGAAAAAGAGGAAGGTGACTTACTTTAGGAGGATTTCAGAGCACATTAATATAGAATTCAGTGTCTAGTATTTTACAGTGGCTTTTAACATGACTCAATGAGATAAAAAAGCATAGATTAAGGAGAAAATATCACATCACATACTGTTCTCACATACAGTCATATGGAAAAGTTTGGTGCTCCTTTCAATGTTAAGAAATGTTTATACGACACTAAAATTGAATGTTATATTAAACTTTCCTCAAAGTTTTAATTAAAAAACTGCTGATCAGATCTGTCTGAGAACTGTCTGGACATTGTTAAGGATGTGACTGAGAAGGCAGAGATAGTGTGGCTTTTATTCCTCAGTAGGATGTCTGATTTTGTTTTTTACTGTTATGGATCCCTGAATATCAAAAATATCAGAATGCACATCTCTACATTTGTGAGCTGTGTTCCTCACTACCTCGCTGTGCTCATGGCTCACTAAAATGTGGCGATGCTTTAAAGAAGATAAGCCTCTTGTTCACTTTATTGCAGGATGTTCATGCAAGGAATTAATGCATGCAGAACGCTGGCAAAGACAGCTGGATGAACCAACTGAAAGAACCACAGACACACAGAAAGATGGACACAGATGAACTTGCTTGCTAGCTGTTGGTTCTGCTGGTTGGGTTAGCTTTTACTCGCTAGTTAACTAAGTTTCTCAGACTGGAATAAAGAGACGTTGGGGAGCGCAGAGATTAGTTACAGCTATGTGGGCAGAAAAAGACACATCAGCCTTGTGAAGGTAAATTTTACACTGAAAGGGGAGAGAATCAGACATACATTGGTCGTCTATCGGTCACTAGAAAGTTATTCACGGGGTACACTTTGGTGTGGACCCACAAGAACAAGATTAACATCATTCAAAAGAAATGTAGTTTGGAGTCTGTTAATAGTTAATAGTAATTTTGTGGCAGGTTCAGTGGGGGAGTCATTGCTGCCATCTAGTGGAACTGAGAGGAATCACCCTTCTGCCAGAGTTTCTCTGTTCTCTGAAAGGGCAGGTATTAACACTGTACATATAACATCCATTATTATTGATGTTGTTTGCATAAAAAAATTGTCTTAAAGCTCATACAGTATAGTTGGAAGTACATACAATATACAAAATGCATAAAAAATATACAAAAGCATTGTTATATAATTTAAGATATTCACTTTTCTTTCATGAGTAAACTATGTGTGCAACAGTCACCAGGCAAAACATCAACCTTTTAAGGCTTAATTCTTGTTTATTTGTTAACTACAGATGATCATAAGTCAGGAACGCTTCCTTCACGCCTTCATTGATGTGTCTGACAGTTTCATTTTAGCTTAGTTGCTTAGCCTTTCATAAACATCAGTCATAAACAATAAAAAGGGAGCTGTGCTCTGATACAGTTCTTAAACCATCTCATCACTCATCAGTGATACACTGTAAGGTAATAACTCACTCTGGGTTCACAGACACACAGCTGGGTTCTCCTCCTCCTCCTCTGCTGAATCCCAGAGGTTCCCCCATTGACCTGTCAATCTTCATAGACACACAGCTGCGTTTTCGTCCTCTGCTGAATCTAAGAGGCTCCACCATAGACCAGTCACTCTTCATAGACACACAGCTGGGTTCTCCTCCTCCTCCTCTGCTGAATCCCAGAGGTTCCCCCATTGACCTGTCAATCTTCATAGACACACAGCTGCGTTTTCGTCCTCTGCTGAATCTAAGAGGCTCCACCATAGACCAGTCACTCTTCATAGACGCACAGCTGGGTTCTCCTCCTCCTCTGCTGAATCCAAGAGGTTCCCCCATTGACCAGTCACTCTTCACAGACACACAGCTGGGTTCTCCGTTGCTGAATTCAGGAGGTTCCATCATGGAACCTATAAGCAGGATGTGAAAGTCAACCTACAATCAAAACAGATTTATTTTACCTTGTTAGTTCATGTATTGGTATAAAGTGTGATTCATCACATCATGTCATTTACAACACGGTACTTTACGACTTTAAGACTTTACACTAAGACCTCAGTAAGACTGAATGGTTTTACATTAGTTTATTAAAGGTTATTACTAAGGGGACAAACACCTTAAAGCTCATTCATAAAAAAAAAGAAAAATACTGTAATGATTTATCAATTACAGAATAAAAACCAGAAATGTAATAAAATTTGCACGATTCCAAAAATGGAATCAACTGCAATAATATAATAGATGATATAATAAGACTACAGAATAGCTACAAGTAATAACAACTATTTCAACTCATAACGTAAGAATGTTTTTCTGATGATGTAAAACCGAATTACATTATTGGTAATTTATTACATTGTCAGAGTTGAGCACAGCTAATAAATCATTACATTTTTGAGAATGTATTTATTTTAGGACTTTAAGCTGATCATTTTTTGAAACAGATATTTTACCTCTGTCTGAAAATTTAACCGTGATCATTTTTCAGTGGCAAACTGTGAATAATAGAGACAGGCCTTCAGTTTGAACTCATAAACTTAAGTGAAAAACTTCCTGAAGTCACAAACTCAGCCCTTTGAATTTTTCCCTGCACCTTCAGAAGGGGGCGCTGTGAGCCCTCTGGTTGTGTTCCAGTCACATTTCTATGACTTATTGAGTTTCTCAGTCATTAATATGTTTATATAAGCTGCCAGTAAACTGGACAGGGCTCCAGACTGACTTCTCCAGTGGTCACACTAGTGCTACTAACTGTCTCAGTTGGTCACACCAGCACATGATTATTTTTTGGTACAGGTATTAAGCTGCATGTTGATGACAGCTGTCATCATTTGCATATCCTAGTTCTGCATTGATGTAAAGACTGACTTTGACAGTGACTCAAAATATTTCATATTTGTGAAATATTTTAATCTGAACGTTGTTTATCTTCCACAAGCAGTGGCTGAGAATATAGGCCATCTTCTATTATATAATTAAAAAGAATACATTATCAAATAAAGCAAAGCATCAAAACAGCATGTATGTTTCTACATGTGCTCTAAGGTGCCGAAATAGCATTGACAAAATTCTGCTCCCCCTGACAAAATCCTCACTGATGAACTTATAAACATAAACTTTATGAGATTGACCATTTTAATAAAAACATGGTTATGCAGTATGGCTTTTTAAACAAATTTTACAGCATAATGTATAGATATTTATTTATAATGGCTTAACATACTGGGGGGAAAAACATTTCAAAAACCTGTATTACTTTTGCCCAGACCACATTTTATATTTTAATTTTTCCCCTCTGTAGATGATCTGTAACTTATTTACACTCAGAACATCAAGAACATGGAATTTGACCAGGGGCGCACAAACTTTTGCATACGACTGCAAACTGTCATTTATAAATATGAATAGACACATCAACAACTTTGTGGACTATCATCTGTAAACAACTGTAAAGGTTCAAATTTTGATGACTTAATGATTTGTTTGTACTAATAATGGTTAGAAACGTATGTGAAACGTATCTCACATATGTAAAAATACATGCAGATCTATTTCTTTACCATATTTCACAATATTGGGTTCTACAGTTCTCTGATCTTTAAATCATGACCCGATCTTTTCCTCTAACGCTTCCATGCTGCTCTGCACTCCTCTTACTCCCTCTGCTGGCTGAACAGCGCTACTGCACATGAACACTCATTCACAACCTGTTTATTTTACTGATGCTCTGCTTACAATCACTACTTTAGAAGCCCAGATCAAATTATACACATATATATACTTAGAGAACCTCTTATCAATATGAAACTGAAACATACTGAGACGTCTGGACACAGAAGGAGACGCGGGAAGCCCAGCACTGTAAGTGAATGCTCTGTTATTGGACACAGCAGCAGTGGAGAACCACTGTTAGAGCTGCTGAACAGTGTGGAAGCAGAGCCGGTCACTACCAGACACACACTCTGAGTTCAGGGTCAGGAACACAACCCACTAACCAGCCCACAGTCCAGCACAGCATCACACAGACAGCATGAGCAGCACTGATAACATCCATAACAGCATCTTATACTGACTGTACAGCAGAAACTCTGAAACCACTATAAAGACTGACAGACTCACATCTAAACACACTGTCACAGAGTTTCAGACACACACTGTGGTTTTTCAGAGTCTGGGGATCCTGCAGGGTCAATATCTGCAGGACTGCAACTACATTTTTAGATTATTTCCCATCATGCACCTGGTGGAAATGTGATTTAGAAGATAAACCCTTTTCCTTCTCCTCTCTGTAGTGGACAGATGGGAGGACACTGGCTGGGCCTGTACAGATCTGGGCTCAGATCAGTTCACTGTAGAGCTGAATACTCTGACAGATCATCACTCAGAGTTTTAATTCACCTCTAAAATGATCAGCTACTTTTTATTTAGCATAAAGATTCAGCTTTGATGATCAGCTGTGATGAACTAAACCATCAAAACAAACAAACAAAACAAGAAACCACTGGAACCACTGTGTGTGTGTGTGTATATATATATATATATATATATATATATATATATGTATGTATGTATGTATTTCACTGCTCGCCAGCCTTCTAGACCGTTTTGACCACCATTGCGCTTCATGCTGTCCACCACTGTCCAGTCCTCACCCTCCTGAACTGACCCTCCTGCTGCTCCATGAACTCAGACTGTCTGATTACCCGTTGCTCCGCCTGTTTTTCCCGTTTTGTATTCTAATATTTGACTCTAGCGCTGTTTGCTGTCCGGTGTGGTCCAGTGGAGGATGGGTTCCCCTTCTGAGTCTCGGTTCCTCTCAGTGGTTCTTCCTGTTGATCTGAGGGAGTTTTTCCTGCCACTGTCTCCACTGGCGGCGCTCACGCGGGGCTCGGACCCGGATTTTTCTATACAGCTGCTTTGTGACACCTGCTGTCCCCCAGACACGTCACTATCTGCACGAGCCAAGACTTAAAACTTATGATTTGATTTACTTATTTATTTATTTATTTATTTATTTATTTATTTATTTATTTATTTACTGATTGATTGTTTGTGTGTTTATTTTCCTCTCTCTCTCCTGACTGCGGCTCATTTATCCATAAACTCCGTTTAAAATGTATATATTTATATATTTATATATGTATATTTATAAACCCGGGTGATTTTTTGCGGCGTCAACAGGAGAAAAAGGAGGATCGAGGTGTCTCGAGCGCGCAGCCGCTCCTTCCGCGAGCGGGCTCTACAGTACTCAGTCAGTCTGGTGTTTATCGGACTAAAACAGGAGCAGAGCTGAATGTGAAGCAGCGCTGATCGCGGATCCTTCAGTAAATCCAGCTTTACAGCGTTTCTCTACAGTTAAACCTGTTTATAGTGAAACCTTTCAGTCCTTTCAGCTCAATAAGAACCGCGGCTCCGTCTTTGACCGGCAGACATTTTGTAGCTCGGAGGAGGAGTTTAGTCCAGTTCTGAGTTCGGATTAAAACGGGTTTAAACCGGGAGGAAACACCAACACCCGGTCCTGCTTTAATCTCAGTCAGTATTCCTCATTTCTGTGCTGAATAATCTCACCGTGTTGAGTCCAGAGCGCTGATCTGGGGGATCTTCTCTCGGACTATGATGGCGACATGTTACCGTCACTTTCCTCAGAGTTACTTTCGGTTTGGTCTTCACTGAGGAAGCGCTGCTCTGATCACTCAGGTCCACTCAACTTTCCCTCACAGATGAAGTCTGCGTGCTCTGACCACTCAGGTCCACTCAACTTTCCCTCACAGATGAAGTCTGCGTGCTATGATCACTCAGGTCCACTCAACTTTCCCTCACAGATGAAGTCTGTGTGCTCTGATCCTGCGGAGCCCTGGAGCTGAAAATGGTGATTATTTATAATAAGGCGAAACTAATACACGAGGCCACGAGTTAAGACAATATTTGTGGCCTCAATATATGAATTCATGGATGCGCCTTATTAAAAATAAATCAACCTGTCGCCCTAAGGGTGACACTGATGACTTAGGTCCATTCACATTTCACTCACAGGTGATTCCTAAAGCTTGTGCCCAAACTAATGATGAACTGACCACTTTTCAGTGGCTCTTTTGGAAAAGCACGTGGTCACCAAAGTTTTAAATAAAATCATTATTTTTATTCATCGATAGTTTTTAATTAATGGATTCATTCCTATTATTTTCTGTTCCACGAAAGATGCTGCATATATGAAGATAATCTAAAAAATGTAATGAATTAATATTAAATCTTTCCCATGTTTTGCTAATCTTACCATGTAAATCACTTTGTAATTTTTTGTAACTAAAATTAAAAGCACTAAAGATTCTTTCTTGTTTTATTGCTGTTATTTTTATCACAGCTACAGTTTTAATCAGGGCGTAAAGTGGGATTAATCAGGTGTAGGAATTTCTTTAAAAGGCACCAACAAAGTGGGGGCAGTACTGTTCAGTGAGTGTTTATTATATGGTGTTATCAGCTCTGATATCATGACAGTGTGATTAAATCATCCAGCCGTATCTGGATCTCAATATCTAGATGCTCATGTAGCTTAACACACAGTCTGAGGTGATGATTTAGACATGCAGTTAGCACCATGCTAATTGGTGGGACATTATGTTAGCTACATTAGCCTCATAGCTCCAGTGCTAGAGCTAAAGAAGCAAACTTCAGACCCCAAAGCACTTAGGACCCCCATAACCCACCCTGACCATCATATCTTCAGAGCCCAGAGAAGAACAGTGAGGTGATAAAATAGCACCTGAAATGTTCTGAGAATCAGTGGAGCAGCCAGTTATGATGGAGGTCCTAGTGGGTTATTACTGTACTAAGTGCTTTGATAATCTGGACCCAGAATCCCAGCAGATAAACATCAAAACTCATAGAGGACAATATTTAAATTAGTCCACAATAAAGGGGACTTTGTTTAATAGCAGTAAAAAGAGTGACATTATAAAGATTTTTGTTCTGAATTTCTTCAGTAATTATACATTCATTGTTATATTCACATGTTTTTACACATGAATGTAAAAAACATGAATATGTATATATAATATATACAAATATGTATATATAATATATTAACATAATATATATGTTAACAGAGTGATAAAAGATACACTTTAACAAACGATCATAACACCTAACTTTAGTAATATAAAATGTAAAATAAAACCTGTTTATTATATTATCATTTAACTGTATCCTAGCTGTGCTCAGATATTCCTCTCAGTGTTTCCTTTATTAACGCATTTATATGCCGTAACATAAATCAGGAATTAGTGTTTTTCACATATTTATACATATAAGACATAAATACACTGATCTGAGGGCAAAAACGGACCATGTGGGCTTCCTCGCTCACTTCCCATTGGCTGTGTGTATCTTAACCCTGTCTGTCATTGGTAGATAGTGAATCAGCTGATGTGCCACCGTCTCTTTAAGGTTTAGTGCAGGAGTTATAAAACCACTACTGCAGGATGTTCAGTCCTTCTTTAGAGACTGAGGGATGGGGACGGTCACTAGCTGGTCATGGTGGTTCCAGGTTCAGAGGCTGTTGTTTGTAACCTCCATGAAGCTTTGAGAATCCGGCCCCTGGTTTGTGGAGTGAAGCTCAACTTGTCTGTAATGATGTCCAGACAAGTGACAAATCAGAGGACCGATCTGAATAAACGAGTAAAGAAAACCTGCTCCCAGACTGGTGGGCTGCCTGACTCAGTTACGCTATGAACATCCTCCCATGTTCTGTGGCAGGTAGAAAACGCTGAGCAGGACCAGCTGACCTCGATTTAGGATCAAGATGAGCAGGAGCAAAAGGTCTAAGGGACTTTAAAAGAGGGGTCAAAGGTGACAGGAGCTTCAGTCACAAAGACTGACCAGTGTTTCAACAGGAACAGTGACTAAACTGACCTCTGCATTCAGATCTGTGGGAAAGACACCAGTAAACAGGGCTGGAAATTGTGGTCAGTGATGCTCGTTCATTACTGTGATATGCAGCTGTTCCTCAGGTGACGATCCAGAACATGATCAGACTGTCAGCAAGAACAGTCTGACCACAACTGACCACAACTACATAAACAGAGTGATTTAACTCTTCCTCACTATGTTTTCTGCTTTATTTATGTGTTTATATACAGTAACACAGGCCGTCAGACATTAGTGTTCACATATGCGTACGCCTTAAACGTGAACCATAACATAAAAATAAACTGTTAATTTAATTGTTTACACGATGATGTACTATTTTACTCACGTTCTGTTGGTTCTGTGTACACTGGAACATTTTCTCTCACTGGTAGAAGAGAAACAGCTGAAACGCCACTTTCCCTTTAGGTTTTATCTCAAAGTTACACTACATGGCCAAAAGTTTGTGGACACCTGCTTCTCCAATGTTTCCTCCAATATCAAGAGTATTAAAAAAGAGTTTGTCCCCATTTGCTGCAGTAACAGCCTCTACTCCTCTGGGAAGGCTTCATAGTAGATTTTGGAACATTGCTGTGAGGATTTGATTGAGCATTAGTGAGGTCAGGTACTGATGTTGGATGGTCAGTTCTGGATCTCCAACTCATCCCAAAGGTATTGGATGGAGCTTCATCACTCCAGAGAACACAGTTCCACTGCTCCACAGCCCAATGCTGGGGGGCTTTATACCCCTCTACCCCATGCTGGACATTGGGCATGGTGACCTTAGGATCATGTGCAGCTGCTCCAGATCATCCCATTGTATTGGTCAGTGCTTTTCTATGGAGATTATACAAGCTGTGTGTGCATTTGAACTCCTGTGTCAGCAGTGAGTGACCTTAATGCAGCTAAATTCACTAATAAGAAGGGTGTCTACAAACTTTTGGACACAGTGTGTGTCACAGCTACCTCAGCATGTCCTCTTCTTCTTTTGAGAATGAGACACAGAGAGGGTCTCTAGCCGGTCACAGAGTGGTCCTGTTCTGGCCCCACGCTATCAGTATCAGACATGCCTCAGTGCTAAGAGTCCTGAAACTCACCATAGTTTAACAGCACTGACCACAAACAGAGTCCAGCACTTTCAAATAGAGAAGTTATGTTTTACTGTCCACACACAAATAAAGAAACCAGAGTGTAGAAAATCTCCACCAAGTGTTTCTGTACTGTTTTATCTTGAGTTGTGGATGACCAGCCTTACGTTTAGCTTAAACTGGACCCTTTGGTCATAAGTTATCATTGATGCCATTGAGAGTTTCTCTCTCTCCACAGCTCTGTCTCTCTTCTGCAGAGCCACAGTAAACTAAGTGAGCTTATTGAGGGTAAGAAGTGTTAACTATCAAACATTAATCACACAGAATGTGTGTGTATATATATATATATATATATATCCCTACACTCTTACCTGACTCTACTAGAAGATGGCGTGGAAACCCGCTGCCTTATACTGTTTACGTTTTTACACAAGGTGAAACTGAACACTTTAAGCTGTATTAACACAGAACCTTAACTGGATGCAGCACACAAATCAAGTTTACATTAGTCTTTACTCAAAATCATTAGTTCACATAAATCATCTATTTTCTGAAGTCTTAATTCTATAAAATAACTATTTTAAGTTAAACATACAAAAATATATATAACAAATAAACATAACATTATTTATCACACTTAAAATGATTTGTTAATAAAAGTAATGTTTTCTTGTAGTTTAAAATTGGAAGGGAAGAATTTCAACACTACATTTCAATGTTCCTGTCACGCTTCCTGGTTCTCATTCGGACTCTCAGACCACCAAGAACTCCACTTCCCAGAATCCTTCAGTCAGTCACGAGACTCTTTCAACCAATCACAAACCACCTAACAGATCACAGTCACCGGAATACTAACCATCATCACCTGTTGTACTCCGTATATATATACCGGTCTGTTTGAAACATATCTTTGCGAAGTATTGCCCTTACCTAGTCTGTGCATACCGAGCCGTTTGTTTTTCTGATTGTTATTCCGTGTTTGACCTCGCTTGTTTTTTCGTTTTCGATTCTCGCTTCTGTTTTGGCTTTGTTGTTTTGGTGTATGCTCTTTCCTGGTTACGACCCCCGCCTGTTTTTTCGACTCCGCTCTCGTCTATGCCCCTGTATTTCGTCTGCCTCGTTTGGTTGTTGACCTGGTCTGGTGTTAACCCTGTTTATTCACGTTTGAATAAATCTTCCGGATTAACTTTTATCCGCGTGTGTCTGATCTGCGAACCCCGCGTTACAGTTCCAATGTATTTTATTGACAAAACACTGCAAGGTAACACTTCAAATGGGTTACTGCACCAACACCAAACGTGTCAATCAAAAGACAGAATTAAAACTCCTTGTTAAAACTCCACCTTGTTAGGAGACGTAATATACCTGCACAGCATTGAACAATATCTGCTCTATTTCTGTAAACAACTGGACACAAAGACACGCATTATAACTTGATACAAGCCTTCAAAGCTTCACCTTGACTGATGAAGTGTTAACTATATCATATCAACTGAGCTCTAATATGCAGTTCTGAGCGCACAACTACATCTTGTACTGTGGCTGAACATTCATATCCCTCATTAAACTTAAATCAGTTCCACATAATGCAAAAAACAAGCACCTGTTAAACACTTCCTTTGCATGATTGGTGACGAGGGCAATGAAACCGTGTGAGCCGTCTTGTATTTCATCAAACTTGAAGGTTTGGAGAGGCAACTGAAGTCAAAGAGGGGACCATAACAATATGGTGAGCACAGGGGCACCAGGTTGAAGTGGAAAAACAAACAAAAACAAATAAACATTTGAAAAACCAAAAGCAGCCACACCTTCTTACGATAGACTTGACCTGGCTTTTATTTACAGCGCGAGCTGCTTTTTCAGTGTTTGTAATCTGGGTTTTAGTTCAGTGGCCCAGTGTGAGAAGAACCTGTTGGATGAACTGGAATGTGTTCTTCACAGAGTTGGGACAGTTGAGATACGCTGCATATGTAAGCCCAAGCCTAATGCACATAGCTTTTGGCAGGTCTTGAATGTCGTCCATCACGACTTCTCCCTCAGTGATGATCTTCAATGGGGCTGGACTGAGATGGAGGGATGATGAGAGCTCAGCACCTTTATGCTGAATGAGGAGGATCCCAATGTCAACGTGGCAGAATGAGTCATCAGAGTCCTGACAGCATAAGAGCACAATCATAACATTAATGATCAATTAAGCATTAAGACAGTCTAGTCATGGGAGAGTCAGATGCATGAGGGAGGTGTGAGAAGGTGTTATGACTGCTGGAGTAGATTAAATCGGCACATCACCCGAAAGAAGGTGGAAAAAGCTCAGAAAGAGGTGTTGAAATGAAATTTTCCTTGTGTACATTTTTAACAATTTGAGCTGCAGCACTCTTAAAAAAGACGGCTCTTCAAGAGTTCTTTAATAAAGAAAATTGTTCTAGATAGCACAGCGTTCTTCAGTTGTTATGATGTCAAGCTTGTATTCAATAGAACCCTTTGTGGGGCTATACAGAAGCATTTTCAAAAAGGTTGTATACAGACCCTCATACAGAACATTCTCCATCCATCTCAAGAACCCTTTCATAATGCCAAGAACCCTTTAATCATGCAAAGGGTTTTTTGAATGTACATGGTTCTATATAGAACCATTTTCTTTACTAAAGAACCCTTGAAGAACCATATTTTTAAGAGTGTGCACAAAAGAACACCTATCCAGCCTCACTGTGTCAGAGTGCTGGGAGATAAAGGAGATCATGGCAGACTGGAAATCTCACAAAATACCACATAAACTATCTGGATGGACAGCCTGTACGAGTGATACGCTGAACCATTTCTTACTCTTTAACTGTGTAAAACTAAACTCTCAGGGTTTACTGAAGACAGGAACGATCAAATAATGGTTAAAATTCAAGATTTTCACTGTCATGGTCCTTTTGAGGAAGTAAGAGGTTACTTACAAAGGCTGTTGTGTAGAAGTCTGTGGAGATGTCACTGAGGATGACTAGAAGGCCTCTGAGCACCAGTGTCCGAACATCGGTTGGCCCTTCAGTCTTTTGGAAAGTAAAATGACAAATTACATAATTAGAACGACAAAAAATGAACGGTCTGTAAGAAAGACGAACTGACCAAGCACAGTTTTGACTGTGTTGCACAACCAGTATGGCAGCACTTTCTGTGACATGTTGTTACATAAGCAGTGAAAACAGTGCAGTGCCAGTGTTTGATTGCTGTGGACCAGCCCTGGTCTGTTCTGACTGCATTTAAACTCACAACACTTCCACTTCTACTGCATCTTCAGAAGAACCTGTAGAAACAGAACATAGGAGAACTCAGCTCACTCTTTCAGTACATTAACTCCACTGCAGAACGTTAACCAGCCTCTGTTAATGACCAGGGCTGTGGTGATAACCGCGTTAACCTGCTGCACAGTGAGGCCGAGAGAGGGGCGCGGTGGGCTCGAGACGCGAGGCTCGTGTGAGCCAGGGGAGGTGGGCGCCAGGCGGGGTGGGGGTGAATCGCAGACCGCGGGGAAACCTTCCTTTTTCACTGCACTATAAAAGTCCTCACCGTCACAGCGCCGCTAACGGCAAACTAATGTCTGTCTCTGAAGAGCTGTCCAATTCACTGCTGTATAAAAGCAGCACATCACTAAAGTGCAGCCTTAACAGACACAGGTTCGAATCGGTGCGTTACCATAGGCAACCGGCATAAGCAGCGTTAGCCAGCCACTGCAAACACACAGCCTAGCTAATGCTATGAACTGGGAACCGACAGAAACACCAGTTTGATTGCTGGCTAACCTGTTATAGCTAGTTATAGCTAACCTGTTATAGCTAGTTATAGCTACCTTGTTATAGCTAGTTATAGCTAACCTGTTATAGCTAGTTATAACTAACATGTTATAGTTAGTTATAGCTAACCTGTTATAGCTGGTTATAGCTAACCTGTTATAGCTAGTTATAGCTACCTTGTTATAGCTAGTTATAGCTAACCTCTTATAGCTAGTTATAGCTAACCTGTTATGGCTAGTTATAGCTAACCTGTTATAGCTAGTCATAGCTTACCTGTTATAGCTGGTTATAACTAACCTGTTATAGCTAGTTATAGCTAACCTGTTATAGCTAGTTATAGCTGACCTGTTATAGCTAGTTATAGCTAACCTGTTATAGCTAGTTATAGCTGACCTGTTATGGCTAGTTATAGCTAACCTGTTATAGCTAGTCATAGCTTACCTGTTATAGCTGGTTATAACTAACCTGTTATAGCTAGTTATAGCTAACCTGTTATAGCTAGTTATAGCTGACCTGTTATAGCTAGTTATAGCTAACCTGTTATAGCTAGTTATAGCTGACCTGTTATAGCTAGTTATAGCTAACCTGTTATAGCTGGTTATAGCTAACCCATTATAGCTAGTTATAGCTGTTATAGCTAATCCGTTATAGCTAATTATAGCTAACCTGTTATAGCTAGTTATAGCTAACCTGTTATAGCTAACCTGCTATAGCTACTTATAGCTAACCCGTTATAGCTAGTTATAGCTGTTATAGCTAACCCGTTATAGCTAGTTATAGCTAACCTGTTATAGCTAGTTATAGCTACCTTGTTATAGCTAGTTATAGCTAACCTGTTATAGTTATAGCTAACCTGTTATAGTTAGTTATAGCTAACCTGTTATAGCTAGTTATAGCTAACCTGTTATAGCTAGTAATAGCTACCTTGTTATAGCTAGTTATAGCTAACCTGTTATAGCTAGTTATAGCTAACCTGTTATAGCTAGTTATAGCTAACCTGTTATAGCTAGTAATAGCTACCTTGTTATAGCTAGTTATAGCTAGTTATAGCTTACCTGTTACAGCTAGTTATAACTAACCTGTTATAGTTCGTTATAGCTAACCTGTTATAGCTGGTTATAGCTAACCTGTTAGTTATAGCTAACCTGTTATAGCTAGTTATAGCTAACTTGTTATAGCTAGTTAGAGCTAACCTGTTATAGCTAGTTATAGCTACCTTGTTATAGCTAGTTATAGCTAACCTGTTATAGTTATAGCTAACCTGTTATAGCTAGTTATAGCTACCTTGTTATAGCTAGTTATAGCTAACCTGTTATAGCTAGTTAGAGCTAACCTGTTATAGCTAATTATAGCTAACCTGTCATAGCTAGTTATAGCTAACCTGTTATAGCTAGTTATAGCTTACCTGTTATCGCTAGTCATAGCTTACCTGTTATAGCTAGTTATAGCTGACCTGTTATAGCTGATTATAGCTAACCTGTTATAGTTATAGCTAACTTGTTATAGCTAGTTAGAGCTAACCTGTTATAGCTAGTTATAGCTAACCTGTTATAGCTAGTTATAGCTAACCTGTTATAGCTAGTTATAGCTGACCTGTTATAGCTGGTTATAGAAACATATACAAACTCAGTGCTAACGCTGTACATTTAGAACCACCAAAGAAACTAATACCGGTACGTTAACACTAAGCTGCTTTAGCGTTCAGCTACCCTGAGTTCCTCTCTGGACCAGTGTTTTAGTAACACATCTTCTCAGAAAGATCTCATGAACTTATTTTACATCCCCACCGTTCCACTCGGAGCAACGCTGCTTTCAGAAACCCACAGCTTTCGGCGGAGCTGCAGCTGAACAGACGCTGATCCAGCTCGCTCTTCACACAGCGCTCAGACCTGTCAGTCAGGATCTGGAAGAGGCCCCTCCCCCTTACAGAGACGCCCCGAGCTCAGCTATCAGCTCAACATAATCACTGCAGTGTTTTTCAGCTCAATACTGCAAACAACTAATCTGATTCAGTAACGACTACATTTTTCTGTAGAACATAAAGAATCAGTATCGATCACTCAGCACTGTAATTAAGATGAAATCCGGGTTCACAGCGCAGCTGCAGTAAATAAGAAAAGGAGCTGTCCTGTTCGTGTCGTGCTCCTTCCTGGGTCAGGCTACAAACATCACGTCTAAACCATAAGTTACTGACCCCATTCTCCCCTAGACTCTCCTGTGGGGTCGCAACAATCATGCAGATACTTTAGGAGTCCCTACCACATTCAGTAACTCCTGACTGCTGGTCACTGAGTGTGAATATATCAGCTTTTTAGCTTTTTGTTTATTTATAATTCTTTATATTGTAATTTTTTTGTGAAGGATGGAGTTTATTTTTATCTTATTTTTTATTTTTCGAATTATATTTATTGTCTATAAAGTAACAAACTGTAAAAAAGCTTGTTAAGCACTTAATAAAGTTAATTACTTGCTTGTTAATTATCTTCTTGTTACTTCTTTTCTTTTTCTTGAGTGTCTTTCTCTCCCTTTGCTGCTGTAGCACTGAGAATTTCCCCGCTGTGGGACTAATAAAGGACTATCTTATCTTATCTTATCTTATCTTATCTTATATTGATCCAGAGGCTAATAAACACATCTGTGGTGATAGTTAACATTAGTGATAAAGAACATCAACTGGTCGTCAAACTGTTTTTATTTGTTAAATGAATAATTCAGTTGAAGTTTTAGTGAAAAAGTTTCAGTCTGTCTCTAAACATCCACAACAAAACAGTCGTCACCCTTTAAATGTTGCTTTCCTTGTAAGATACATGATCAGAAGGAGATTTCCTGATCAGGCAAACTCAGCTTAGACACCACTGAGGCACGACTGTAAAAAGAGAATAAGCACGTTTACAACAGAGATTTGATACATTTTAAATTTTGGTTGGAGTGTCCTTTTAAAGGGAACTTCCACTGATGTTTCACTGTTTTGCCCAGTTCAGAAACCGGGATGTAATCAGAGAGATTCAGAGAGGTTTGGTGTGAAATGGCTCAGATGTCTTTACAGTGGTGGTGATAGGAACCAGGGGGTCTGTTTGAGTTCATTAATTGTGAAGCACTTTTTCACAATAAGCACCAATAATGTTTAAAAGATACACATCCAGTGATGACCGACTGACATTCATGACTTCAAAGACTCTCCAAGCACAGATGAAACACCAACTTTAAAACGACCTGAGAGTCTCAGCACACATGGCTCTAAAGTAGACTGACTGGTTAATTCACTGGACTCTACAATCAGGAATTCTACAGCTGAAGATGAACTGAATTAATATTGTCATTTTAACTCTGAAAGCTCAGTGAAAAATATTTACAATGGAAAAACTGAAACTGACACCATGAAAATGCTCAACCATTCAGCAAACTGCAGAACAGACCCACCATATTCAACACAGTGTAGCACATCATAATGCAGTTTACATCACTGTAAATACTTTCATGACACTGTCATCTCAAAGTGCTTCACAGAAGATAAAATAAATAAAATACAAAAAATAACATCTATTTAATAAGAAAACATGAATAAAAATAATCTGACATCAATTTAATAACAATAATAACAACACACGAGTAAAAATAATCATTATAATATTAATATAACTTCAGTAAAATACAAATAAAATCTCACAACATAAACAAAAATCAGGACTACTTCAACAATTCAGTACAAATATGTGTAAAACGATAAGTCTTTAAATTTGTCCTAAAAAGTGGTAAAGATTCAGAAGTTCTACGAGACTTAAGAAGCTCATTCCACAATCATGGACCCAATACAGTTAAAGCCACTCAAGGAACCTAACTTATGGGGAACCACCAGCAGATCTGAGGATCCAGACCTCAGTGTAACCTTAACATACATATGAGGAGGAAGGAGATCCTGTAATTATACTGAAGACCAGAAATCACAGCAAGATCACAAACACATGAACCAGCTTCTCAGCATCACATCGAGTCAGAGACGCCCTGAGTCTCACAGTGTTTCTCTGTCTAAGCTCTACAAATAGAGTATTTCTGTATAGAATGTATATAGAATATGGGAATCAAATGACAATGTAGGTCCACTTTAATCCTAAGACTCCTCACACAAGATGCCAGTGATTTTAGATGATCAATTACAAGAATATTGTTAATTTCATCTTTTCAAATCTGTCTTGAAGTGAAAACAGCTGAAGTAGCAACACTAAAAGGTGAGGAATGGTCACTCAAGGCTGTACATTCTTTACGCCCAGTTCAAACAGGAACTGAACCAGTGAAATACAGTGACTGAACTCCCTCTGACCTGCAGGTGCTGCACGATCAACAGCATCAAAAGAGGCACTCAATAAAAGATCATCTACCACCTTAAACACTGCAGTTTCTGTGCTATGAAATGTTCAACATCAAGACTTAAAAACTTTACATACCCAGCTGGATTCCAAATAAATCTGCACAAGGTCGGCAAAAAACCTGTAAATCTGATATGAAAGGCAAGTCTGAGATCAGCCTATAGATGATAAAACAGAGGCTACAAGGTGATGTTTTTCAGCAGAGCTTTAACTGCAGCACATAATCAAACACATCAGATTCAGCACATTTCAAACACTGATAGAAAAGTGTTGCATTGAAAAGACACAGTATCTTTAAAATCTGACACCAAACATAAACATAAACATAAACATGATCTACAACTTTTCCCTTTAGCTGAAAAGAGTGAAATCTTAATATTCACTAAAAATACTTTCCAAATTATAAAAATGATGCGCTCAACAGTAACAGAGTCACTATAAATCCAAACAAGAGAAAAATATTTCACCATAAAGCATTTTGGATGGAAATTCTTTGGCCTCAGTGAAAATTGGTGGTTATGTAACCCACTCAAAATATAATATTCACACTTTTCTCCACTTCACACCTCTTTCTCATGTATTAACTTATTTCTTACAAGTCATTCATTTACATCTTTAACACATCTTTACTTAAAGACCCAGAATCTGACACATTCCTAAGGAGGGAGTGGACATCCTTCATGGAAGCGAAAGACTGTCCAAACACCAAACCAACACTTCTGTGGGAAACAGCAAAGGCTGTAATAAGAAACAAAATAATCTCATATTCATCATTAAAAAAGACAGAAATTCAACTGTCCTGTTTTGTGTGACTGACATTGGCTGAATATCTATCTATCTATCTCTCTATCTCTCTATCTATCTCTCTATCTATCTATCTAGCTGTTGTATTTGTGTAAAGTATTTAACATATTTGTGTTTGTAGGTCTGTAGAAATTGTTCCCGGGTTCAAGTTAGCATTTTGACTGGGCACTTAAGAAGACAGACAGTCCACTTAAAATTCTCTGTAGAGAACAGAATTCAGGGATCCTTCAATAATAGCAGGTTGTCCAGGTCCTGATGCAGCAAAACATCTCCACACTGACCCACTAGCGCCCCCAAGCGTGAATATTGGGGTGGTGTTCTTGCTGTAAAATGCATGATTAGTTTCAAGCCATTCATTCATTCTTGTTATCCAGAAGGTCACACTTCAGTGCCAGTTACTCAAGTGAAGATTCATCAGTGTTCTTTGGATTTTCTAGATTTTCTAGAACCTTAGAAATGTTTTGAACCCTTTTCTGGATGTTCTTTTGATCATGGCCTAGTGCTTATGGTGATACCATAACTCTGATGGTGAGCTTCAATATGAGTGAGTTTTACATTCAGCAGGGCTGATTAAGGGGACAGTTACTTTTTCACATGGATGGTTTGAATGTTAGATAACTGAGCTCTGTAAATAAAGTTAATTATAATGTAATAAATGTGAAACTGTAACATTTTCAAACTACCCAGTCCACATTACAAACACTAGCTGCACAATTAGCCCATTTTAAAATCATTATTCTTGTTTATTGGAACATTATTTATTTCCTTGGGGGGAAAAAATAACTTAGTTCATATATATTTAGATATATATCTGTTTATTCAGTATACAGCAGTTTAGTCCCGCCCATTCATGCTGAAGTAATAAGGAGTGTTTTGGCCCAGACTGCTTTTTGAATGAGATACAATATAGAGCTGCCAGTCAGAACAAAGGTAGTTTACCTATATCTAAAAGGCTCAGTAACAAAACCAACCGGTTTAATTTACCTGATCAAAAGAGGAAAATGGTCATGTAAAAATGAATTATGACTGTTTTTGGTACAGACATCCACTCAAATATCATAAGTGGATTTCAGGGAAGAATAAAACATGTAGGATTTGCTTCTTTTAAATCCTGTATTGATACAGACCTTTTGTTTGTGTCGGAAGTTGCTTTCGTCAATGGCCACAAACTCCCTTTCCTCCCCAAGGCGCTGTGCTGTCCTTTCATAGTGCCTCACAGCACGTGTGCACACTTTTCTTACACATGAGGCATCTTTGACAGTGTTCTTGAACTTTCTGCTATACCTTCTGTCTTCATATCACCCTGCCTCATACGTAAGCCTTGCGCAAACCTGTAGAGCAAATGGACAGAACAAATCAACACTTCCTAAAATACTCAAGCAGAGCACAGTGTGAACTTCTAGGACTGTTTCTCAGAATATAAATTAGGTTACCTATAGAAAAACTTCATCCATGAGAATAAGCTGCATCTCGAGCCTCAAAGATGGAGCCAGATCTGATAGTCTTGGTTATTTTATATTAAATCTGCCAACAGCTTCTTTTTTTGCATCCATTTGATCAGTCTTGCTGTCGCGCGGAAAATGGAGCGCTGTGATTGGCCATCCACATTCGACGGTAATTAGACATGACTGTGAATATCATAAATTTGTTAAACACAGTTCGTGTGTTTGGAATAACACCTACTGTGACAACAGTAACCAGCTGGGACAATACTAAGGAAATCCAGGACCCACCTGAGCTCCACCTTAGAGTCACCGCGCAAAGACGGCTCCGCGATCTTCCTGCAGGCATTACGGCTCTTCCAGTTTCCAAGAGTGCCATAGTGTTGGATGAAGAGGCTGCGCTGAAGAGTGTAGAGGCAACATGAATCAAGAGCCAAGTACACGAAGTCTGCGAACAAAGCTTAAAACACCAGCCGTGTGTGATTCTACTATATGTGGAGTTTTCCAAATATATATGTTTGTTACGTCTTATTGTGTTTTGGGTTTGTCTATTGTTTGTGTAGCAAACGTTAGCTAGCATACTTTAATGCTGCACTTTTCAGAATTAGCTAGCTAGCTTAGTAGTTAGCGTTAGCTTGGTCAGCAGGTAAAAGCCATTGAAAAAAAGAGGCTGTCCAGTAATATAAAAGCAAATTAG